AGCACAAAAATAAGTAAAATCAGAAACAAGTGAAATAGAAAAAAATAGGAAAAATGGCACTAAGAATTATTTTTTGAGGAGATTAACAAAGTTAACAAAATTTTAGCTAAGGTAACTAATGAATATAAGAGAGAAGATTCAAATAAATACAACCAGAAATGAAAGGGAACATGCCACTATAGATATTACAAAATTAAAAGGGTAAAAAAGACTACTATGAACAATTATATGCCAATAAATTGGATAACCTAGAAGAAATGGATAATTTTTAGAAAACATATAACCTACCAAGACTGAGTCATAAAAAAATAGAAAATATGAATATGCCTATCACTAGTCAGGAGATTGAATCAGTAATCAAAAACCTACCAACAAAGAAAAGCCCATGACCAAATGGTTTCACTGGTGAATTCTACCAAATATTTAAAGAATTAGCACTAATGTTTCTCAAAATCTTTCAAAAAATTGAAGAGGAAGAAACACTTCTAAACTCATTTTATGAGGCCAGCATTGTCCTAATATCAAAGCCAGGAAAAAACACGTCAAGAAATGAAAACCAAATTCAATAGCATATTAAAAGGATCATAAATGTAGTATCATGACCAGGTAGAATTTATCTCTGGGATGCAAGAATGGTTCCACTTATAAAAATCAATCAATGGGATATAACCTATTAATTGAATGAAAAATACAAATCACATGACCATGTCATAGATACAGGAAAAGCCTTTGACAAAATTCACTCTTTTTTGAGAAACACTAAAAACTACTAGGAATAGAAGGAAATTTCCTGAATCTGTTATAATAAAGCCCATATATTAAAAGTTCACAGCTGACATCATACTCAATGGTGAAAAACTAGAAAATTTTCCTTAAAGATCAAAAACAGGATAAGGATTCCCACTCTCACCACTTTTAGTCAGCATAATGCCAAAAGTAATGCCATAAGGCAAGAAAAAGAAAAACATATCCAAATTTGAAAGGAAGTAAATTATCTCTGTTTGTACATAATTGGATCTTATATGTAGAAAATACTAAAGGCTCCACAAAAAACTGTCAGAACTAAGGAACAAATTCAATAAAATGACAGGAAATACAAAAACATAGAAAAATCAGTTGCATTTTTATATGTCAACAGTGAGCTATCTAAAAATATTAAGAAAACAATTTTACTTACTAGCACCAAGATGATTAAAATATTTATCAATAGACTTAACCAAGGAAGTGAAAGAGTGGTACATTGAAAAATACAACATGTTGATGAAAGAAATTAAAGAAGACACAAATAAATGGAAAGACATCCTGTGTTCATAGATTGGAAAATTTAGTATTATTAAAATGTCCAATGTAATCGTATCAAATTCCAGTGGCATTTTTTACAGACACAGAAACAACAATCCTAACATTTACATGGAATCACAGTGAACCCTGAATAGCCAAAGCATTCTGGAGAAAGAACAAAGCAGGAGCCTCACACTTTCTGATTCCAAAACACACCTCACTTATTTTTTGTGGTATGATATTTAAAATTTACTCTTAGTTCTTTTGAGGTGATGATGAGTTAATCAGTTTGACTTAAGCATTCCACATTGTATATCAGATCATCACATTGTACCCTCAAAATGAGTTATGATTTTAATTAAAAGTTAATTAAAAAATAAAATTAAAATAAAAAACATATTACAAAGCTACATTAGTCAAAACGCTATCATACTGGAATAAAGACAGAAATAGACCAATAGAACAGAATAGAGAGCACAGAAATAAACCCACTCATATATGGGCAAATGACCTTCAACAAGGATGCCAACACTGCACGATGGAGAAAGGACAGTCTTTTCAACAGAAGACATTGGGAAAACTGGATATCCACACACAAAAGAATGAAATTGGACCCCTTTGTCTTCTACACAAAAATCAACTCAAATGTATTAAAGAATTAAACATAAAATCTGAAACTATAAGCTCCTAAAAGAAAATGTTGGGGAAAACACTTCATAACATTGACCTTGGCAATGATTTTTAGAAAACCCCCAAGACATGTGCAATGAAAGCAAAACTAGAGAGGTAGGACTACATTAAAAGCCTTCTGTATAGCAAAGGAAACAACCACAGAGTGAAAAGGCAAACTAATGAATGAGAGAAACTATTTGCAAACCATATATCTACTATGGAGTTAATATTCAAAATATATAAGAAATTTAATAGCAAAACCCCTCGATAACCCGATTTAAAAATGGGCAAAGGACTTAAATAGACATCTCTTTAAAGAAAACATTAAAATAACCTACAGGTATATGAAAAGATGCTTCGCATCATTGATTACCGGGGAAATGCAAATCAAACCTACAGTGAGGTATAAACTGATACACATTAAGATGGCCATTATTAAAAAAAAAAAAAGCACAGAAAATAACAAGTATTTGTAAGGATGGGGAGAAAGTAGAGCTGGAGTGTACCATTAGTAGGAATGTAAAATTGTGCAAGCTCTATGGAAATCAGCTTGGAGGTCCCTCAAAAAATCAAAAATAAAACTACCATATGATCTACTAACATCACTTCTGGGTAATTATCCAAAAGAATTGAAACCAGTCTGTTGAAGAGATATTTGCGTATTTATTATAGCATTATTCACAACAGCTAAGAGGTGAAAACAAAGGTCCATCAAAGGATGAATAGGTGAAATATGGTATATACATAGACTGGAATACTACTTAACTGTAAGAAAGGAAATCCTGTCATATGAGGCAATGTTTTCAGGAGCAAATGCCACATCACAAAGAGCAAATAAATACTAGAATCATCTCTCTCTCTCTCTCACACACACACATATATATGATAAACTCATGGAAGCAGAAAGTAGAAGGGTGGTTGCTAGGGAAGAGGGGGAGGGGAAAATAGAGAGTAGCTGTTAGATGGGTATAGACTTTCAGTCATGCAAGGGGAAGGAATTCTAGAGGTCTGCTGTGCAGTATTGTACTTACAGTTAATAATACTCTTCTATACACTTAGAAATATGTTCAGAGAGTAGATATCTCATGTTGTTGTTTTTACCATAGTGAAAAGTATTCTATTTTTCTTTTTTTTTTGAGACAGAGCCTCAAGCTATCCCCCTGGGTAGAGTGCTGTGGCATCGCAGCTCACAGCATTCTCCAACTCCTGGGCTCAAGCAAGTCTCCTGCCTCAGCCTCCCAAGTAGCTGGGACCACAGGCGCCCGCCACAACGCCTGGCTATTTTTTTGGTTGCAGCCATCATTGTCGTTTTTTGCGGGCCCAAGCTGGATTCGAACCCACTACCTTAGGTGTATATGGCTGGCGCCTTAGCCACTTGAGCCACAGGTGCCGAGCCAAGTATTCTATTTTGCTATGGGTGATGTCACAACCACAAACGTCTACAAGGCTGGGCTAATACTGTAAGTGAATAAAGCTGGACAGGAGACGAAGTGAGCACATGGTACAGTGGGCTCTGTTGGACGGGAAGGCACGCGTCCTGCATGAGAGGGGCAGTCACCACTCAGCTCCACCTAGTTGCTGCCAAGTGAGACAGAGGTCCAGTGAGGTCAGATTTGATTTTCTCCAAAGAAGTTTATTTTTAATTCAAAATACTTAGAATGATATATGGCTACCCTATCCCCTAGCAAACTAAAACAGAGTTTGTAATCTCTGTACTAGAAAGATTAATTTGATGTTTGTATGCAGGATCAGTAGAGAGAGAGGAAAGACCAGGGACTGAGAAAGTCATTAGGGATTTCAGGGTAAAAAGTAGTGAACGCCTGAACCAGAATGGAGGCAGAGGAAGTAAAGAGGGTGGTGTGAGTTGGAATTAAAAACATGGACTGGGGTGGCACCTGTGGCTCAAAGGCATAGGGTGCCGGCCCCATATACCGGAGGTGGTGGGTTCAAACCTGGCCCTGGCCCAAAACTGCAAAAATAAATGAATAAATAAATAAAACAGATCATTCTCAAAAAAAAAGAAAAAAAGAACATGGACTGGCAGGATTGGTCTGCTGATTTGACAGGGGAGGGATAAGATGGAGGAGATAAAAAACTTCTTCAAGGTTTGGAGCCATTCGAGAGTAAGTTGAAGCCACCATGCCCTTTTCCTCTAAATCCTTGAATGTGTATTTCCTAAGGACAAAGATGCTCTCACATAGCTACAGTATAATGATCCAAATCAGGATATTTAACATTGATATATGTTATGTGATTCATTGTCCATATTCAAATTCTGTGAATTATTTTAATAAATACGTGTATATATGTTTTTAATATTGTAAACCAATATCTAGACAGAACTCAAAGGGCTTACTATTTTCCTAACCTGTAGGGATAGTTGCTTTACAATAGTAATTAAGAAAGAAAAAATCTGGCTCGGCACCTGTAGCTCAGTGACCAGGGCACTCACTGGCCACATACACCGGGGCTGGCAGTTGGAACCCGGCCCAGGGCCTGCCAAACAACAATGACAACAACAACAACAACAAAATAGCTGGGTGTTGTGGCAGGTTCCTGTACTCCTAGCTATTTGGAAGGCTAAGGCAAGAAAATCACTTTAAAAAAAAAAGAAAAAGGTAACTTTTCTTTCTTTCTTTTTTTTTTTTTGAGACAGAGCCTCAAGCTATCCCCCTGGGTAGAGTGCCATGGCATCACAGCTCACAGCAACCCCCAACTCCTGGGC